TTTAAAAGGCAGCACCACACAAGCGTTATATACATGAACGTCACAATGGAAATAAAATCGGAAAAAAAAGTTTTAAAGAATATAATTGTTAACGCGGTTAAAACCAACATGCGGAACTAAGATGCTCAACCCTTTATTCTTAAACACAAGGCAGGTTTTTCATTGATACAAATGTAAGGTTTGTAAACGGAGACCTCAGCGTCGACCTGACAAACAGCACAACGACGTGACGGGGGCGATATGTTTGCACTGGAGAGACTCCAAGCAAAACAGCATCTACCCTGAATATCAAGTGTATGCTGTCTACACTACTTGCCCACAATCTACCCACGGTTGTCTTCAACAACATAGCATTTCAACCTTCAACCACATTCGTGGTATTGTCAAATCCATTGTGTCACGATGCGACGATTGTGTTGAGTGCCTAACCCAATCCCGCTGTATACAAGCCCTCCCCTAAGACTGCTTCAAGGGCGTGTGTCCCATCTCTGGCAAGGTCTTGCAATGCAGATGTTTCAGACTTAACACACATGCAGATCTCGTCTTAAACAAAAGCTATTGAGATAAATCTGGGCGAAACAACAACGCAGTTTGTTGGTAAGGTGCGTGGTTTCTCGAGGGCCCTTCATAAAGTCAATGAATTATTTGATAAGAGGAGAGGCGGGTTCTCGTCGGGGGATGGAGTGAGTGACGTGGAGGAGGGGGGTGGGGACGAATTTGACAGTGGTTATTTCACCCCCATCATTTTCGAGGTGGGGTTAAGAGAGGGGAGAAAGGTGAGTGGTGTGGAGAGATTGGGATTGTGGTACAGATTGGTAATTTCGTGTCTAAGAAGACAACCCTTGTGATCTCAACATTTCTCCCATTCACGGCCTGTAGTAACGGCCAGTTATATTTGTTAGAGAAAATTGCCTTTGTATGGACTAATTATTACTGAAGGGGTTTCAGGGGTTATCTAACGACTTAATGCATATTTTTACATTCTTTTCAGTATTTAAAATGCAATTGCATTTGCTGATATTTATCAAATGATTTTTACATGCATACACTAGAAATCAATAACTCATAATTTCTTATTGTTATAAGATGTTTTTACCTTTGAATTGTACCGTTAGCAACATGTCGCCGTCCTCATCACAGTGCAAGCTGAAAACTACTTCCTCATCAACACGTGTTATATAATATCCCACACCTGTCTGTGAAGTGATCACCAGGTGATAATCTGAGCCTGGACAGGTTAAAAATACAATGCCAAATGTGGAATTACTTTTATTGTCTGTAATGCCCATTTCTAACTAGTTCATAAAATATACGTGCATCGTTTTAGCAAACGTGTGGATTATTTGGAGCATAAAACATCATTGTTATCACCTGGCAGTACAGAGTTATCCATAGACTACATATTTAATATTGCAAGTATAAGCAACGAACTGACATGAGCGAAGGCGACTGTAGAACGGTCAAACTCTGTCGGCATGTCACCGTGATGATGATGCAGAGTCAGAATTGTAGATCTAAACATAAACAGATTTAACTATAAAAACTGAGGTTTTCGTTTGTTGTACTGCATGGTTCAACTAACATGCTGTACGTATCTGTACTTGGTGCATCGCGCATGTATATATATATTAGCCACACTGGGTCAAGGATAAATAACATCTGTACTAATAACAGTACTATACATTTAATATCATAATTATATGCTTGATAATATCAATATCGTATTTTTTCGCTGTGGTAAACCTTACATGTTTCAAATCTGTGAGGTTGGAATTTGCTCTGAATCACAAACTCTGACTTCAGCGGTTTACAAATATCATAATGGTAAAATAAGTAAAACTGTATTCAGTGCAAACATAATGTATTTTATCACATAAAATATTGGTTGAAAAAACTAATGAGAGCATCTATTGTTTGCCTGGATAGTATACAGTCGTAAAAGAAACACAATTCAGACTGTGTACCAAACAAAATTGTCCGCCACAAAAACAACTTTGTTGCAAGGTGTCTTTCTTAAAAAAAATATTCAGGCGCATAGTTTCATTTTTTTATAGATATCTGGCTTTGCAGCCGAAGCTGAAAAAAATATCTTATCTCCAAAAAACGTTTATTAGGAAAGCAGCTCTTTTATTTCTATACGTGTTTCCTCATTGCTTGCTACTATTAATGTTATCTACACATATACACTGTACGTGTTCCAATTATTCATTATAGTCACCGGTTTCAAAGTGAAGAAACGACAAGTGCTGATTATTGTTGGAATTGTTTATTGACTGACATATTTACAAATATGCATTCCGTTAAATATTGCAGTAATACAATTACACAAGATTAGTGTATTTCGAAATACATGTTACAAGGGATTACACGTAATGTACGTGGACAATACGTTAATCATCTCCAGTCCCTGATATATCACAGTCCTGTACACTTGTGAGTGAATAAACATAGCATGGACTTCTGTATAGACTCGACAAATGAACACTGTTTTCCCACAGTATCTTCACTGGCTCGATTATCAGTTAGTGTGGTTGATACAGAGTAAGGCAACCATACAACTCCCTTCACCACCCGGTACAATCTTAGACTACGCCCTACACGCACGCACTAACATACCCTAACACTAACACACGCACGCGCACACATACACGCAAGCTATGCATGTCCATACTCTACACGTGTTTTAGTATAACACACACATATTCTACGTTTGTTATAGTTTACCACACACACACACACACACATACACATTCTACACGTGTTATTATATACCACACACACACACACACACATACTACACGTGCTATATTATATCACCCACCCACACCCACATTCTACGCGTGTTAATACTATACCAGGCACACACACACACACACACACACACACACACACACACACACACACACACACACACACACCTTAACGTTTTAATCAATGAATTATGAGTATTCGTGTGCGTATTTCTTAAAATAAAAGTATAGCAGCAATTATTCCAAGAACCTAAATCATACAGCTTAAATAAGTCGTGTCGTTAAAAACTTCGAAAAGTAACAAGGTGAACTCTTTCGTTTGCTTACAATTGCGGGTGACCTACGAAGTAGCGTGAAATATATATAATCGATATATTATTGTTTCATTGGCCTTTTTAGAAGTCGGTAAGTAACAACAAAGACAAGATATTTTATTGACAGCTTCTAAAATCTATTATGATGCGAATCGTGCCACTCTTGCTTGACAAAGATATAAGGATCTGTACCGCAACGTCGCGTTTAGAATAAAGTGAGTGAGTGGGTTGGGTTTAACGCCACTTTTAACAGCATTCCAGATATATTGCGGCGTGTCAGCGTAATGTGGGAGGAAAACCAGAAGCTATGCAGGTTTCAGACCTTTACCACTTCGGTGAAACCCACGAGCACGGGTATGGTATGGTGCTGACAAACCTAGAAACATAATTGGGGCGAACCGGAATTCGAACTCACAATAATAGGTTTCTGGCGTGCCCAAAGGGAGCAACTTTGCACAGCGAATCGCGGCGCCTTAGACGACTGGGCCACCCGTGTCCCCGTTAGAATGTTGTAATCCATAAACTATCTTGTCTCTACAATATATTTTTGCCAATACTTATGTGTATCAGGGTCAACTCCTACATCTGGCCATCACAGTTTCATTGTTTTCAGAAAGCAAAGGTTTGGCATTTGCGTAACATGACTTGTCAGAGATGATCAGAGATGTCCCGACAGTTGAAGTCAACATCCATTTATTTGCAATTACACCATTAACTGTATTAACATCATATGGACACACACACACAGTCTTGACCTAGTTCGTTTTAATTTGACTTAATTCTTTAAACTTTACCTGAATTGTCAAATACGATGACGAATGGACTTTCAATACACTTTCCTGGCTTCGACTTTGTTGGGTCGTCTGTGTCTATGTCTGTCTTGTCGTTTCGACTTCTGGTGAACACAACTGGATTTATTCGGCAATATGTTCCAAGTTACCGTACTCGAGGGTCTAAACCTACAAAAGTTTCCACTGATAGATTGAAACAATACTGTTTACGTAAAAAAGATTTTTATGCTCAGTATTTATTTGAACAAAACACACACAATTTTATTTTTCGCTACATATTTTCCTCTGCATATGAAACAGTACAAAGAACAGAGATGTTCTTAGCTGTTGGTAGCACAGAGGAAGGTCACCCTTTAGAGGTCACCTTTTGAGATCACCCTTTGAGGTCACGCGGAGTAATTCATATCCTGATAAATACATAGGCGTGTGTGTTGCACGTGCGTCCCATGCTTCATGCATCCCACATTCCCGAGGCAAGGAGTTAACTGACTATAAAAGTAGTTCCCATCCTTGCCGAACTAGGCTGGAATTTCGGAAACATAGAAGGGATATAACTTTTAATACCCACTGATGGCGCTAGGATCGAGCCACGAAATTCCAACCTGGTTTGACAAGATTGGAAACTGGACATTCATAGACAGTTCACTCCCTTGCCTCGGGAAGATGCATGCATGATAAGTATGTTCAAGTAACATGGGGATGTTTTTCTTTAAAAACAATTCGGGTCATTGTTCAAAGAAAATATATCTGATTTTGTAGCTGTATCTGAAAAATATCTAATCTCAATACAAAACCCCAGACCACCCCCCCCCCCCCCCCCCCCTCCCCCGCCGCAGAATATCAAATGGACGGTCCCTAAAATCAGACCGTTGGCATTTACAATTGTATGTCCATGTATGCTATACAAGCATAGGCATTCCAACACGTCTTCGATATTCTACTGACATCAGCACAATGTGTAGATTATGTTTGTCTTTGAGCTCATGCATGTCTTGTCTTCTCACCATCTGTATCAATATCTTTGTACACTGAGCATTTGGAAGCGGTCACTTCATCCACTGAGCACATCTTCATCAGTCGAGCATCACAGCACCAGGGCGCCAAACCTGTCTATTTCACCTGAGCCATTGAAAGCATTGAAATCTTTCTTCAAGCACACGAGTGTCTGTTTCAGCTGTACCATAGCTTATGTTCATCAGTGACGAACAATGAGGTCATCCGTCTGAACACATGTTTAGCACTTGAACACCCTGTCAGAACCAACCAGTCACGCACTTACACATCAAAAACACCTTGTCGGGATTTTCCCTAAGACAAGCCATGGTGTATGTATGTCTGGAAGTAGGGGTAGGAGGGTGGCACGGGGGCGGGGCAGGGGGTCACTGGGTAATGGCGCGTGGCTTGCAACAGTCGTAGAATGTTCTGAGTTGCTACAGTCTCCGCCTTTGAGTCCTTCGCCTCCGCCTCCCGCTCCCGGTCCCGTTTGTACTTGGTACGGCGGTTCTGGAACCAGACCTTCACCTGGCGGGAGAGAGTAAAAATACTAGTGTAATGGTCGTATCAAAACAATTGAAGTATTTGGGACTAGATACCTACAGCCACGTAAAGATATACTAGTATCCTCCCTCCCTCTCTCGGGGGCAAGGGTGGCCCAGTCGTCTAAGGCGCCGCAATTCGCCGTCCAGGGTTGCGTCCCTTGGGCAAGCCTGAAACCTGTGATTGTGGGTTCGAATCCCGGTTCGCCCCGATTATGTTTCTAGGTTTGTCAGCACCATACCCGTGCTCGTGGGTTTCACTGAAGTGGTAAACGTCTAAGACCTGCATCACGTCGGGATGACGCGCCGTGATATAACTGGAATACTGTTAAAAGCGGCGTTAACCACAACTCACTCACTCACTCTCAATACACATCGAGTATCCTCGAGGAGTTGAGAATGTAATTCAAATGTGCCGCTGTAGAATTGGACGGTCGTTGTGTTCTCGACAGCCACCAATGGTAATGTAACCGTGTTCAACCTTAACACGAACACAATCAGGGTTCATTATTGTATGCGTTCATTCGTGAGTGTAGGTCTATGTTGATTACTCAAACGCCCCCGGGCTTACCGTGTGTGGCGTCATATTAAAAAACAATATAACAATTGTTTAACGCCGCAAATACCTTAGCTATATATAACGGCGGTCTGCAGATAATAGGGTCTGGACCAGATAATCCAGCGATTGATATCATGAGCATCGATCCACGCAATTGGGATCGATGACATGCATCAACCAAGTCAACAAGCCTGACCACCCGATCCCAGTTAGTCGCCTCTTACGACAAGCATAGTCGCCTTTTACGGCAAGCATGGGTTGCTGAAGACCTATTCTAAGCCAGATCTTCACGAGTCATTAAACAATAAAAAGAAACAAGAACGGGCGAGTTACACACGACAAGAAGGCGGGTTCGTGAACTATCTCCTACCTGAGTCTCCGACAACTTGAGCCTCTTGGCGAGCTCTGTCCGCTCCTTGCCCACGAGGTACTGGTTCCTCTGGAACTCCTGCTCCAGCTTGTACAGCTGCTCCGAGGAGAACGTCGTCCTCGCCCTCTTGGGACGGTCCAGGTCCAGGGCTTTAGGGAACACTAGCTCCTTCACCATGCCGTTGGGATCTGCAGTAGATGATACGTGTGTGATAGTGTATTCTGGCATCGAAATCACACCTTCACCAGGTTAATGAGCCATGCTGTGTGAATGAACGTTGTGTTACGCCACAGTCAGCGTTCCATCACGGCGGCATGTAAATAATCAAGTGTGGACCAGACAAACCAGTGACTGAAAGCATGAGCGGCGGTCCATGCAATAAGCCAGGGACCCGTTCCACAGAGCGATCGTAACGCCTATTCTTCAACACTGACTAACGACAGTCGTAGCGCTAAGATCGCTTTGTGGAACGGGTCCCTGGTCACATAGTGTAGACATACGATCCCCCTTTAGTCGGCTTGTACTACAAACATGAGATATGGGGATCTATTTTAGTACTTACTTAGTGTGACAATTGTAAGCAGAAATAATTCGACCGAGTTGTAATAATTAACATAATTGAGTGTATGATTTGGATCTTACACAACCTCCATCAACACAATAGTACTGCCGGGGACAACAAAAACAGGCTTCACGCATCATACCTATGTCGGAATCGAACCCGCGCCTTCTGTGTGTGAACGGCTAACGCATCAACCACTTTCCCATCATCTGCTTCATCTACCATGAAAACTTTAGATAATGTTAATTAAAGTAATGAGAATTCAACCATACTAATACATACTACGATATGTTTACCGGGGTTTTGGTAACGGAATCGCCAGTTTAATTGTATATAACTGTTTGTGATTTATGCGCTGTAGGCGTCATCCCTAATAATCTTGTAAGATACATTTACACATCATCAAAACATCCTTTTATTGCCATGTCATTAAAATAGAACAGCTGTTTCAAGACACGAACATTTAAGTTTTCAGTGAATACATAATCATATTCATTACAAAGGATATTGTACACCAGAAATATCCTGCCATAATTCTTATGACTTATAGAAACCGGGGTAATTTTATCGACATCACAGCCATATAATTTTCCCTCCTAAAGCTAATAGAATTTCCTAATTGGAGTTGCCATGCTAGGCTCGCCTCTCTTCCCTTCTTGTCAATATGAAAAGACCACTTTATCAAATATTTCGTCCTCACGTCATTCACAATAATCTCTTGATGTGTCTAACATTCGTCTGGAACGTCCGCACGGGGCTTCAGGAACCACCAGGCTGTTCGCTAGTTATTCAAAGCCTCTGCTCTTCGCCTACAGAGAGTTTTTCACAATACTAACAAACAATATCCATCGAACCAACAGCGTCATCGTTTGTACTCAAGCCTCAATCTAACTCCGCCAGAGCCGCATGGACGTGGTTCGGCGGTCGGCTGTAAACCGTTCAAACAAAACCAGCGATTCTCGAAGTTTCGTCTATTGCATTTCCCCGACAACTGCTATTATAGAACGTTTAGTTAGTGTAATTGTAACTAGTCTATCTCGAGTCTTCGTCTTCATAACGGATAATTAGCCCGTCGTGGAGGGAGGCACTTTCTCCGCTAGTCCGTCCCGCTGAGTTAATTATTGAGTTGGGGCCGTGTCACCAATCTTTTTGTGTGTAAACATTTTGTAAGCCCGTCATCTCACGGAGACAGGGTTCGTGTGATTGTGTTATTAGGCATAACATATAGGGATCGTTACAAAACCTGTCACTTATTCTCTCTTCGAAAATAAAACGAACCGAGACAGATTACTCAAACATTTTGTGGAAAGAAATAAAACTTTCCGAACTCTTTCCGATTAGACAACCGAACCTAATAAATTAAAACATGTCTATAACGTACACATTTAATTTGAATTAATTATTATATGGTCCCCAGCTTGAAGGACAGTAAGAAATCGTAAATAAGCTTGGACCAGGCGTTTCAAACATTGTAATAATGAACATATTGACATATTACCAAAGGGAGATAACTGAAGCTGCCTGAATGGTGCGGTTTTGAATAGCGATATTTTGGGTCAGAAACTGAGCGTATTGAGATACCGTATTATCAGCTAAATCTGGTAATTATGGGGGATAATAGGCTGACTGATTATCGAAAATAAGAGAATAATAGCCTAGTCACAGGCAGACAGTATCTGTTGTGTGACAATAGACATGTCATTAGCAATTTGACAATCCGGTTTACAAGATGGTGAGAAAAGTGTATTTCTACAAGAACTAAAATTGAAATTTCCTGTCAGTGTCGGTATTAATGCGAGATGCCATGATTCGTTAAAATGGAGTTAATTATTCCTGAAATCATATCCTTATCTTAAGCTGTCAAGAAGGTTAATTTTTTGACAAGGGACATCTGGTTTTCAGGAAGTTTTGACAGGTAATAAACTTTACAACCGTGGATAATTTTATTCCGGAAAAGGACAGGTTCAATTATCGACAAGTGCTTTGGGTTTCCAAATAACATAGTAAAATTCGTTATTTTAGAGAACTTTTGTAATGAAAATGGGTGGTTTGGTGCAGTTCATGACTTCACGACATGTCTGAAATACATTGGCTTTCTGTCGCATGGACACTTACCTCGAAACTGAGCTCCAGAATGTGTGCCACATGTACGAAAGAAGCAAAAAGACGTCGCGCATCGTAACAGGTGTACCAGTTAATATACTCTCTGATATCCAACAAGACAAACTCTACTCTATAAGTTAACATGTCCTGCCAAATACCTAATGTAGGATTGACATAAAAAGTCGAAATGGAAACGGAAACAGAAAAAGAGTCGACGTTTCAAGTTTACGAATAGTAATTTTAATTTGATGCATCATGACACGTAATATAAAAAAAACCCAAGGACGTTTAAGTTTAAATTAAGCCAAATAATCTTTGTCCTCCATATTTGACTGAGCTTCCAAGGCGACATGACAGAAGTTATTTGTGCTTTTATTCAATACATTTATTCAAATGAACGGAAGAGAAATACATACATACATATATATATGTATATGTATATTCATGTATATGTATATAAATATGTGTTTATATATATATTTATATATTTAAATTTATATATATATATATATATATAATAAATGTATGTATTGTGTGTGTGTGTGTGTGTGTGTGTGTGTGTGTGTGTGTGTGTGTGTGTACATATATCCTCTTACTATAAACTATATGACATCCGAAAAGTATGTGTGAGATAGTCGCTGATCCTTTCTCCCTATAACCAGACAGTCTAGGTTATACGTAGATAGGCTTAATACTACTATAGACTCCCTGGTGCAACTGAACTTCTAGCGTCCATCATAGAACCAACCAACCCATACATCCATTCAACATAGACAACTATTTGACTTGGCTTCTGTGCTGACGATTACAACCATGAAACGATCAAGTGGATAACCCCAACTGCAACTAACGGATAACAAAACTTTAAACTTCAACACAACGTCTATAATTATGACTTGTTTGAAAACTTCTGACAAAGATTATTTTCATCCCATAATGCACAGGGCGGACGTCTACTTACAATGCTCTTAAATAAACATTGTGTAAACTACCTGAACTTTCCCTTTCTGTCGAATATTTGCGCTCAGCCAACCTATTGTCAATTAAACTATGAACCGTTTTACAAAAATATGTTCATACACTGATCTGTATACTTTTGAGATCTGTATGAAAACGCACACTACTTGAACTGCATTGTAAGTCAGAACATCTTACTCTGGCACAGAAACTGAACAATTAATAATTGAATTTTTGAAGTAATCCTCGCGGAGACCCTGACAACCCGATGTCCTGCTTAGTAGCATGAATCCACGCAATTGGGATATGATGACATGAATCAACCAAGTTAGCGAGCCTGACCACCCGATGCCGATAGTCGCCTTTGACGCCAAGCATAGTCACCATTTACGGCAAGCATGGGTTGCTGAAGACCTATTCTAGCCGGGTCCGAATACCTATAAAACTCCACTTCCAACGATACGCCAAACTGATCACATATAATGTTATGCACCCGTATGTTTAAATACCAGGAAATATGTTAACATATTCATCATAAAAAATGGTTGTTTAGTATCAGTCTACCAACGTTTCAAATCGTTGCGTTGTTGAAAATATATACGTCTTAACAGTAAACAATGTTATCAAAGAAACAACTCGATTCACAATTTGATTAGTAATATTTTAATGTAAAATGGGAAAATGGTGGAATTTATTTTGCCTTTTACGCCCAATGGAATCTGTGTTCGGCAGATATTCGTCTCTGGCGTTGACGTTTTATATCATACACCTTAGCCTTATGAGATATACACACTACGTGTATTTAAACATGCAACGTTATCTGGGGATACTGTCTTCATATGTGCTAAACTGTGACTGGTCTAACTATTTGAAACAATATAAGGTAAACTACGGTTATAACGAACTCAAAGGGACCACTAATTTTAGTTCGTTATAACCGTAGTTCGTTATAAGCATATATACAGCATATATACATCAGATGGCCGGGACTAAAAAATAAGTTCGTTATATCGGTCAGTTCGTTATAAGCGTGTTCGTTATAACAGTAGTTTACTGTAATGTGCTTATGTTGTAGTCGAATCGTACAACGTATTTACGATATTGAAATGGTTATGTCGCTTCTATTTACACAGAACAGAATGCACCGTATAGGTAATGAATACCAGCATCGGTACATCGCTCCTTGTACAGCCGAAGTGAGATTTAAGTTAATTCTTCTGTGCATCGGTAAATAAGAGCGAGAAAAAACTTTCCATTATGATAAAAAGTCTCTGCTTGAGTCGATTATACGATTTTGACTATATCATGTTATGCATGATTTTGAATCACTTTAAATTTGTGATTATTCCTGGTTTTCGCGAAACGGTGAGCATATCCCGCCCCACCGGTGGCACCCGTCAAAAACACATGCAAAGGCACGTCAAGTTTTGATTTGACCAAACACAGGAACGTATGTGGGAATAGTCAAAATAGGGAATTGCATCGGGCATCATTTGGTAAGATACAAGAGAAAAGGTAAAATCAAATGTTGGTATGCTGCATGAATCAGACTCACAAGTCCAATGTCTTCCGCTCAGATTGGTGTATTCTATGTTGTATATACTTGTATAAACCATAACATCACCCACACAATCTAGATTGATTTAATTCACTATTTGATAATGGTTCTGAAAAACATGTTCACGATATTGTCGGAATCGTACAATAGACTCTGCTTTCAGTATAGATTTCTTATAAATATGTAACGGGTTTTGTCGTTCTTATTAACATTAAGTTTTGTATAGATTTAACCGATTCAACTAAAAAAATATTCTGTTCAATTTTTGTATAATGCATCAATTGTTATATAATGTATCAATTGTGGTATTATGTATCAATTGTGGTATTATGTATCGCCTTTGGGATGAATGTAAAATTCTCGAATAAAGCATAAAGAAATTATATTATATATTAAAGGAGTATATTAGAATAGTAAGAACATAAGTGTTAGGCACAATATAATGTATAAGGTATAAATGCGTTCGATATAAATTTTGAAAAAATGATAGTCCTTATAACAAGTAAGGAAAAGATATATGGATGAACAATTTCTTTATTACAGCGAAACGTCGCTTCTAGTTGTGATAAAGAAGTTGTTTATCCATATATCTTATCCTTACTTAATACTCCAACATCTAACATAATAACAACTATACACATTCTACCATTGTGGGTTTCCTCTGTAAATATAAAGCGTCAAAGCCAGAAAAAAACCAGTCTCGATTATCTGAGAAAACAGATTGCAGTGGGCGTAAAAGGCAAACTTGCAGGGGAAATTATGAATAGATCACTGGAAATACCCCTGATGACACCAGGTGAATGCATGACTGTTCTACCGGTAGTTCCCGCCACTCATATAAAGTCAAGAATTTAGGTACCAATGACGATCGACTTTATTATGCGGATATTTGCTTTAATGTACTTACACAATTTGCATAGAAAAGTAAGACGTGTTTCTTGCCTTACACCGAACAAAACCAGCAGTACTCCTGCCATGCGACGCGGACTATAAACAAACTAGACCCCGTGCATGTGTCTTCACGTCAACATGTAAATTAAGTGTAAAAGTTTATGTTGGGAAAATATAAAGTATCATGCTTGTAGACAGCACCTACTAATGCAAGCTCACGTCAACGATTCAGTCTCAATACTTTCTGTCTCCAGTACCTCCAATCTGCCCCCTCGTTCTCCTACAACGCCTCCTGCAGCGTCAGTTAGACGGAAATCAAACCAAAGTCAAAACCAATCGACTGTTGAGAAGAAAAAACAGATTTCACCTGGTTTCAATGCACTATTTTTTCACAAACCCTTATAAATCATCAAAGGTAATTACGCAGTCGTTAATTTATTGATTTAGACGATTGTTGATCTAATGCAACTTGAGAGTTAACCAACCCCTATTCAGCGCGTGCGTGCACCAGCTGTTGAAGTGGATGTACGTTTTTTCATGTGCTGAAAACCAACTTTCAATAACGAATTAATTCAATTAACTATTCGTTTTTTAAAGAACCATTTAAATCGTAGTCAGAGAAAAAAGTTAAAGGAACAAAAGTGCAGATAAATAGTTAAATGGTAAAATTACTGCTTTTGAGCATGTTTTCATTATTAAAGAATAGAAAAAATGTATTATGTACCATTCTTATCAGGCAACTGGTCAGAAATGACATGAAGGAATATGTACCTTTTTTGCTTAAAACGCTTTTTTCATGTCATTTATGTGACAATGTTAACAAATAAAAAGTGTATTGTGTACATCTTATGACTATAATGATCCATCCTACGAAGCCCTTAATGTACATTTTCCCCATGAGATAATAAAGTACTCTGTAGCCATCATTCCCGTTATATGAAGCTACATCTCACTGTAGACAATACACTTAATCAAACACTGTATCAATTATGTGACATTAAGAACCATTATTAGAACGAAACGATAGAACCAAAACGTTTTTACTTCAACTAAATCAAGAATACCTACAATTACTTACAAATGTGTACGTTACATAGATTCTATGTTAAAATACAAAATACCAGCGAATTAAATGAAATGTATATATGCCATTGTTTGATTGGTATTCTAGAAGTCGGTGCGTAAATAAGAAAACGTACATAAGGATACTAAATTTTGATTTATTGCATTTTGCAATAAGCAAGAAGTTTTTGCCCATAAAGTTGTACCATTTTTTATGTCTATATCTCATGCTTACCGTGAATACCACATACATGTACATCTGAGTGGGTCTAAGTGTTGAATCTGATACAGAGGGTATGGAGAAAGGAGATGGTTTAACTAATGTCATATTTCACACATAAATGCATGGTAATGCCACAGCGTGTTCCGTTTCTATGGCCTAATTGTTTTCAATACATTTATTGAAGGCTTTTTAGATTTGGGAAAATGAATATTCTTTTAAGATTAATTTCTTTTTAAATGTTACAAAAACCTGTTTCTGAAAACTGTATGTCATCACTGACATTTAAGGCCCGTGCACCATTATTAAGAGTGGAATAAACCCTCTGACGTGTAGGTTACACATTGAGATAAGGGGTACTGGAAGGTATAGGTAGGTATACACAACACTAACTCTTTTGTGCAGCTCCACGAATGGCCATATATTGAGTGTTGTATTTCACAGTGTATAGACAAATAACATAGATTCCAGTAATTGAGGCACGTGAGTAGCAGTACACAGGTACTCTGTCAATCATATGTATAATACACTTACTTATACCACAGCTTATCGTGATTATACAATTAGTAAATACTATTTCAGTTTAATGTATCACGTGCAGAAAAATAACATCATACAAAGCTTATCAATACATCAATTTTAAATAATATGTTTTGGTAAAGATTATATTTAACGAGTATCATTATGGCAGTAATCAAAAATGAAAAAAAAAACCAACAAATTATTATGAATGATAGTTATCTCTGTCGATGGCGTCACAACCAATAACATGCTTGTCATACATAATTAGTATTTTGTTAATATATAATCCATGTTGAAAATAAAAATATTCTAGAAAAAGGGCATCGCATCTTATCCCTAGCTACCTTTGACTGTAACTTTGCCTGAGAAAGCAATTAATTGTGTCAGTGATAATTACGCTCATTAAAAATAAGTCAGTTAAGAAACACGTTCAGATATGTCAAATTCATTGAAAAGACCAGTATCCGAATGAATCTAATATTATCCTACCTTTGACGGTGAGCTTCTGACAATATGTTGGGTACGTCCCCGCAACGTGTGCTGTGGCGTTGGTGCCGACGTTCATGGTGCGGCCCCACTGTGACTGACCACTGTCCATCATGACGGCGGAGGAGACGCGCGAGTTGAGTCGCATACATAAAGTGACCACCTTAATTGGTTTCCACCTTATACCTGTAATTGTCAATTCGTCACCTTCACGTCACGAGGGCTATCTGGGAATGTTGACAATGACAGCTATCCCACGGAGGTTGTGATAACTGCCAATCTTCCCTCGTGTTATAGCATGGCACGTTGAGACTATTTGTTAAATCGTCAACACCTCATCTGCCAACAACTTGGAAAGCGCTTTGTCGCCGTTGTCGACGTCGCTATAAACAACGTTACGTCTATCAGCTGTTGACGAGGGAGAGGGAGGGAGGTGTCTTTTGGTGGATGTTCGCAATGCAATGGAGTATTGACGGTAACAAGCCTCTCTTTAATACAACCGTCTACAATGGGCCAGCGGGGCTTCTCCACAATGAACCGATTGGCTCGACTCAATGTTAAGTGTTTGGACGTAAAAGAGGAATCTTTGAATGGAACAAATAACAATAGCTAGTTTTACGTTTTGATTAGAGATGGGGAGGAGAGTCCCCCATGCCGAGTCTATCAACGTTTTAGCTACTTCTAGGTCACGTGACATACTCTCACAATCTTACTTTCAGATTCTAACTCTGCAAACATGCATTTTAAGTCTGCTCAACTTTTTATATCTAAATTGAGACGATTTCAGAGTAAATATTTGATGTCATGACTATATACCTCCATACGAGGCGCTGAAAGTAAACTATATACTTACTTTGACATCTTTATAAGATACAGACAGTTTATTCTTTTTTTAATGAAAGTTGTCGTTGGTGCATGGTTTCCGAGTGGCTGGTCTTGAACAAAACAATCCGCTCTGAGCACCATTGATACAATCTCGGTGTGTCACGACTGCCAACGCGCTATTCTACGAGAGTACAAACCGGAACCCTTTTGACACAACGCGACAGTGACGAGACGGTATATTTAGGCCGGTACGGGTGGAAAACAAGATTTACCAGAACGAATAAAAGTTTCACTGATTATATCACATCTACGTCTCTGCTTGCTATTGCTGAAAAGAGTAATTGCTAAAGGGAGACCACTGGGTTGATCTACCGCGCGATGTTGATGCTAGGATTAGTGGCGCGACTGTCTCGCGATAAGATCGACTGTCGAGATGTGACAGATATACAATAGTAGACAGCGGAGATAGGCACAGGGTGCATTCATCCACGATGTCCATGCTGACATCTGCTAAAGAGATAATCACTTTTCATATATTCATATTTAACATCAGTTAGCGTGCTCCGTATTGTGGCAAACCAGTTTGCTGAATTACACCGTGGTTTTAAGATTAACTGACTCCAAGAGTTGAAACAAATTTATTTTGTGTATTCTGAAATAGACAGACTCAGTTCTGTGTCTTGGAAAGATGACATGGCACTTTTCATTCACGAATAAATCTTAATTTGAAGCAGGTGATGTAAGATTACATTATAATTTCTATTAAAATACAAAGGACATTCATTTTGGATTTGATGACAAGCGATAAGGATTGTAATGGGTCATGTTTCAATTCCAATTCCCTAGCGATCCTCCCCCTTGGTTTTAAGAGATCAACAAGCATCAACTTTATGGGAACATTTGTAAGTGTGGATGATTGTACACTCTCGCTGATAACCAGTGACGCCGTGCAGACAAAATAGAATGACACACATAACATATGTGTCATGACACATTTACATGGGTGAGTGAGTGAGTTGGGTTTAACGCCGCTTTTAACAGTATTCCAGTTATATCGCGACGTGTCAGCTTAATGTGGGAGGAAAGCCCGAAGTGATGCAGGTCTGAGACGTTTACCGCTTCGGTGAAACCCACGAGCACGGGTATAGTGCTGACAAACCTAGAAACGTAACCGGGGCGAACCGGGATTCGAACCCACAATCATAGGTTTCTGGTGTGCCCAAGGGATGCAACTCTGCAGAGCGAATCGCTGCGCCTTAGACGACTGGGCCACCCGTGTCTAACCACATTTACACGAACACTGATGAAGGCAGATATTGTAGACCCACGCGACTGTAACCCTGTGTAGGCAGGAGGGTGTCTTGCAGTAGTGTGAGTGATCTAGATCCAGCGCATCTTTAACTATAGTTGGAATGTAGGGTATGGTGTAGAGCACCTATGCGGGGGACAACTGGTTGCCTTGCAATAACAATCAAAAGCATGTCGTTGACGGATGGTGACAGTTCGTTAAGTAGCAGACAATGTACCGACCTGGCCCTGTTAATTTCAAAGTCACTAAGTATAACACGCACTAAAGCATCGTAATATTTTTTGAGACCCCAGGGAGTTTCTGGTTCCTGTATTCTACGAAGTGTTCGTTCGTTCGTTCGATTCCTCACATGGGTACAATGCGTGAAGCCAATTTCTGGTGTCCCCCGCCGTGATGTTGCTGGAATATTGTTAAAAGCGGCGTAAAACTAACTCACTCACTCACATGGGTACAATGTGTGAAGCCAATTTCTGGGACACCAGCAGTGATATTGCTGGAATATAAAAAAAACTCACTCTCTTACTCAACGAAACAGGTAAATGCTTCCACCGTTTTTAACTGCCTCTTGAATGCGATTGGCGTTATCTACAGAAGAATCGACATCACTGAGTGGGTACTGAGTCAAAGCATCACAAGGCAGACTTTATAACGCAAAACAAATCCACAAAATTAAATCTGCAGATTATAATGGATAATCAATATGGATAACCTTAGATATGCCATTGTTTATAATATTATGTTTTAAGTAGTGTCTCTCGCGACATCAGAATATACTTTAACAATCCTTAATAAGAAGCAGTGAATATTCTCGTGAGCAAATCAGAACGTGTCATCATTTTTATCCTTGCGCATATATAAATGAAGCATGTTTGCTAAGTATTTTAACTCAACCCACATTCTCCACAAGCACCGTTTCCGCACACATGTCGTATCGGTAAAGAGTTGAACAACGCCTATTGTAACGCTGTTTGCTTCCCAAACATGCAGGAACATGCGCTACAATGTACTAAATGTTCAACGCTTACCGCTTCCTATTCTTCCCCCATGACCATATTCGCTGACAGTGTCCAAACTGACATTTCATCTTCATGTATTTTAGTCAGTTTTTCTTTCAGGGAGTGCTAGCTTACATCTGCCCGACCTGTCTAACTGTCATACATGTTAAATAAAACACATATTCATAATTGATGGCAGATTCAACGCAGATGCGGATGTGGGTATTCTTTTGGCGTTCCCGTATTTTGTTCTTGACGTCGGGAGAAGACACAGAGAAGAAGCGGGGAATAGATGTCCCGTGCGTAGTTAGGTTACTCATGCATGTCCATAGCAACAGGGGAATAACTACTGAAAAAGAGGATAATTTAAATTCTGTAAATCTTTCATAAATTTCTCACTTTAAGTTTTGTTTGTTGTTGTTTAAAGCCTCACTTAGCAATATTCCAGCTGTTTGCCGGCGGATCCCACCTGAAGATGTCAATTTCTATCATGCGATTAAATAATTTAGAGTGATAGAGGATAGAGAGAGGATGGGTTGGGGGGGGGGGGATAAACAGCCCAAATGATTGAAGAGGTATCTTCCCAAAACGTAGACCTGCCAAAACGCAGACCCGTTAAAACAACACTCGTTATGGCTGGTTGCATCAGTAATTAGTACCCTGTACCCTTGATTAAGTAAAATGGTATCACCCATGTAACAAGAAAGAAAGCTGGGTAGATTTCACATTTTTTTATTTAAATGTTATTTCATTGTCATTTATGATTATCAGTCATTTGTTTATCATCAGTGGACCAACTGCATCCAGGTTCTGAAGGGGTGTCTTTTCACGGCGATGAATTAGTGAGCTAATTTTAACTGCTTTTTGGGAGGTCTGTATTTTGGAGGTCTACGTTATGGGAGGGAACCATTGAAGATGCTATAATCAGTTTTAGGAAGGCCCACTATGCTTCGTCAAGGTTTAAACCCCTCACCCGCGCTTGCCCGCTCCCTCCCTCCACCCCTCCGGGTGCACACACATACCTCACACCTGTTGTATATGTACGCTGTAGGCACCGTTTGTAGTGACGTTTAGGGAGCGCCGCCATCAAAGGCGCTTGTGGTTGAAACACTGCCCAGGGTGGCTACACGAAGAGTGTTCGGCGAGACACGCTACCCAGGGTGGCCACACTAGGGGTGTTCGATGCGACACGCTTCCTGGTCATCACATGCTGAGTTTGTTTCTATACTTCTAGTATTTAATCACTGTGTGCATATACATAGCGTGAAATCTCCATCACCACGACCAGGTGTTGTATGATGACATAGACGTGCTGTGGTCTCACACACGCAGTTAACGCGTTGTGAATTATTAATTAAACTACACATTTATATACCGCAGGTATCCAGGTACTAGTACCTTCTCAAATGCGGAATTACACATGATGAAGGGGCAAGAGTGAGTGAGTGAGTGAGTTTGGTTTTACGCCGCTTTTAGCAATATTCCAGCAATATCACAGCGGGGGACACCAGAAATGGGCTTCACACATTGTACCCATGTCGGGATTCGAGCCCGGGTCTTCGGCGTGACGAGCGAACGCTTTAACCACTAGGCTATCCGACCGCCCCTGAAGGGGCAAGAAGTAGCTCTGAAAGGTTGTGTACGTATAATAAAGAAGATGTTTTCCATAAAACTAACTGTCATAGATATATTTAGATATTTAACATGTTGTCTTTTTATCAGTATATTATAACACGATCCTATGTAGTTTGCTGACACAGAATAAAAATACGTATATAGAGGAATCGTATTATACCCTGAGGCCTAATTTTTATAATTTTTGAAATAAACTGAAATTGCGAGTTTACATATATTTTAGAATATCTCTCCCTTCTAAGAAGGACGTGAGGTTGAAATAATGAAATATAGCATATGAAATAAGAGAGAAAAAACATAAAAAAACATAAACAATATTCACATAATTTGTAGTAGAGATTATTTATGGATAACAACCGTTACGTCTTTATTTACTGTAAAGGCGACGACAAGCAAGGGTCTTTATCCAAACGTCGTCGATACAGCATATAAAGAATTTGTTATCCATAAAATATCTGGTTGAAATGACATTGAATATGTGAACATTGGTGTTATATACCCTAAATAGTATAACTATTCTTTGCTGCGTAAATGTCAGTCAAGGAAAATGTGTATTTACCGTAAATGTGAATTTTGGAGCGAGTTAAATTTAAGGAGAAATCCTTGTTTCAAAATGAAATGTTAACTTTATTGGGGATGATTTTGGGTGAACATTATTAATGTTTGAATACTTTTCAAGAACTGTAATTGATTTATTTGCTTTATTATCACTAAAGAGTATATTTATTTTACTCTTCAGAACATGTTTAATGT